GGGAGGGTGGGGGCGGGGGCAGAGGTCCATGTATGTAGTTGAATGTCAGAAGATCACTACTAATCACAAAAAAAGACATCTCAAGATAAAGATTTTAGTGGCTCTCTATGTATGGGAAGATGCAAGAATCTGGGCTCACTGAAATTATTCATTAGATATGCATCTTAACTACCTAAGGCCAGTATACAGAGCACAGAATGCCTCCTGTTCTCCATCCTGAATTCCCCCTCCCCTGGGGAGGCGGGGGTTGGGGGGAGAGATGGGTGCTGTAGTGGCTGATGGCTCCATTCTTCCAGTGCTGGAGTCGAGGGCCACACATTCCCTGTCTACACTCATTCTGAATAGTTATATAAAGATATTCCCCCAATAAAAAAGCCTTGCTCGAGATATTCTGGAGAATAACTGGTAAGTAACAAAAACTTTACCTAATATTCACCTTTTCAGCCAGTTGATACAAACCCAAGATTGATGTAATAAAGTGCACAGTCTCATCAACAGGCAATGTAAACAGCTACAACCAGAAGAGGTTCAGAAAAAAACTCCTTTTGGCCTTCATTGTACTTTCAGCGAAAGCATATAGAAGGACCACAGACTTTAAGAAAATAAGGATGAATGGGGACTTGGTCAAATGGGGGTGGGCAGCCAGCAGGTCCATCCTCCCTTCTCTCCCGGACTCCCATCCAACCATCATGCAGGTCATGCACATCTAGAGGCCAAACAGAGCTCAAGCCGCCCCACGTGTTAGGGTGTCCAGGTGCCGTGATGTCAGGTATATTAGACTTCTCACTGCTTGTCTCCCCAACAAAACCCCCCTCCTGGGTCTTTTCTGGCCAGAGCTATGTGCCTGGAACTTTAAACCCTGTTCAGTGCAAAATATCACTGGGAGAGGTGATGTGTTTTTTAGAAAACAGACATTTGCATCATAATTAATGCCTGATACCTTCCTTTGAACAGGTTTTAATTGGGGGAGAAAGGAGGGCAGATGTGCTGAGGCCAGGAGACAACTTTAGAGGCAGCGGGGGTGGGGTGGGTTGGGGAGGGTGGGTAGTGGAACTGGAAGGCAGGAGCCACAGGGGCTAATCCCTCAGCTCCTACATCACCTGCTCCCACCTATGCCTCTGCGTCTAAGGCCAGGCTGCTGCAGGATTTGTCCACTTCTGTTTACTGAGTTCTCTGGCCTTTTGAATAAAAAGTAGAAGAAACCCTTCTGCCCATAAAACAACACTGCTGACTCAGAAGGATATTTTGGTTGGCAGACACTTTGGAGACATTAACCAGACACAACTAGCTGGTTTGCCAGGTCAGCCTCGAGGGCTTGCCAACTTACCAGCAAGCATTTTTATCTGAAAAATAGCAGGATTTTGCATTTCAAAATATTTGCATTTTCAAATACAAAAGTACAAATAATTCAGTGTAAACACTGCATCAAAGCTACTCAAATTATACTCCGACCTAGAGTGCCCAGAGTAACACCTCATCTTAAAAAAAAATCTTTTTGGAAGACTTAAATCCATAATAATCATCAACTTCAGAATAAGTATCACTGTTTGCAACCATCACAGTAAAAACTGATTCAGGCACACATCACTAAAGGAATCTAAAACCATTAGGGACAAGTTTGACGAGGAACAGATATTTATATAGTCTCAGATGATCTCCCCACAGAATATTTATTAATTACAAGGGGGAGCTATATCTTCTTAGAAGAAACCTGACAGACAGCACTTTAACCCAAAGGTGAGAATTAATATCCCCAATAATGGGACAAAGTCATATCATGATGTAATGCACTGTGAAGACTGCAAGACCAGAACTGCATTATCTGAATCTTAAAAAGAAACCCAGACCAAGAAACATTTCACAAGAAAACTAGCCTACGCTCTCAAAAGATCCCACAAATAAAGGCAAGAAAGCCTGTCAGATTAAATGTAACAAGAGACATGACATGTTAATGCCATGAGGGATTTTGTAAAGTGTTAGATTGAAAAAAGCTACTAAGAAATATTGGAAAGACATAAATGAGCTTATTTACAAAACAGAAACAGACTCACCGACATAGAAAACAAACTTATGGTTAAGGGTTGGGGAAGAGGGTGGGGAGGGTAAATTGGGAGTTCGAGATACTAACTACTATATATAAAATAAATAACCAATAAGTTTCTACTGTATAGCACAGGGAATTATATTCAATATCTTATAGTAACTTATAATAAAAAATATGAAAAGGAATATATGTATGTATATTATGACTGAAACATGCTGTACACTAGAAATTGACACATTTTAAACTGACTATACTTCAATTAAAAAATGAAATGAAGTAAATATTATTGGGATAATTAGAGAAACTTGAGTATGAACTGCATATTAAGAAAACCACTACTAAGTTTTCTTATTTGGTAATTATATTGTGGTTCTCTAAGAGAATGTCCTTGTCCCTAAGAGAGATCTGCTGAAGCATTTAGGAGTGAGGGTCATGATGTCTGCAACTTCATCTCAACTGTGCAGCCATAACAATAAAAATTAATGATATTATATAAGTGTGTGTGTCGAAAAGAGCAAAAGCATGTCAACTGGTGAGTCTACGTGAAAGTTAAATGGAAATTCATTACACAATTCTTGTAATTCTTCTGTAAGTTAAAAACTTAAAAAAATTTGTTTGAAATTAAAAAAAGTGTCAGTTTTCAAAAACCATTAAAAGGGAAATGGAGGGCAAAATGGATTCAAACTTTCAAATTATTTAGAAATAACTAAATTTAAGTAAACCATTTAATAGAACAGAAGCAAAATGACAGTATTATAGATGGAGAGGCTAGGGCTTGTCAACAGCAGTGTGTGTGTGTGTGTGTGTGTTTGTGTGTGTTCAAAACTGTTTGCTAACCTCAGGAGGCTGTCAGGCTCTCTCTGGGCCACAAGAGTCATGCCACATTTTACTAAGTGTAGGATATAAACACGGAAAGAATGACTACCCACAACTGAGGAGAAGAAGAAATGCCAGCCTAACCAACATTAGTACCAATTTGGTGAGTCACTTCCTCTTAGGAGGAAAGGCAAACATTTCTTGTTCCCTCAAAGTCTCAGAGGCTCTGAGAGATCTGGGTTCTCAGCCTGCATCAGGCCGTACAGGCAGCAAACCAGGTCAGGAGAGCCCACAGCCCCTCCACTCAGGGCTTGTGCCCAGCTAGGGTCAGCATCACCACCGGACCTCCAATTTCAAAATCCACGTCAACGTAAACCTCTTGGCCATTTCAGCCTCCAAACGACAGTTCCCGGGAGAATGCAGGCAACTAGAACCAAGGAAGTTTGTGCTCTCTGCACATTTATCCTCCCACCTGGAGTGGGCAACAGCCTTGGTTTTCTTCTGCTCATCACCCCCAACGTCCCTCAGTCCTGACCCAAACCTGCTTAGCCTCTTAAAGTGAGAACCCTAGCTGTGGCTGGCAGCCCTCCCTCCTGAAGCCGCGCCTGCGTCGGCCGCACACACACGTGGACGGATTAGGCAGAGCTGTGCTGTAAAGCGCGCACACGCGCTCGCCCAACGTGTGCTTTTCATTCCAGAAATACTTGATCCCTAAGCCACGTCTACGCCTCGCCTGGCCTGAAACAGTGTAAGTGGCTCTGGGCCAGAGGAAGTGTCTGTTTAAAGAGGTGGACTTGCTCAAAATTTCTTTACCTCAGAAGCTCATAGATAGAACATTCTAGCGTAATTATGGTGGAATAAAGTAGAAAAGGAAAAGGTTATAGGAAAAAATATTTTTGCTTTTTTTTTAAATGGCCTAAAAGAAATACTGGAAATACAAGGTATAACATAGAATTATCTTCCATGAGAGTAAAAATTACAGGGTCCAAGTTAGGACAAGGAAGCAAAAATACTACCTTTTACAGGAAAGGTTAGTGGGCATCTGCCATCTTCTGTCACAAGCATTTATTCTTGTTCTAAGGTCACCCACCAAAGCAAAGTGCAGAAGGCGTTTTGTAATCATTGTTCTATTCTGGAATGTATTTTTTTTTGTAACTTGCTTCTTGACGACTTTCATCTTATATCAAAAACCAATGTAAAAGAAGAAAACCCGTTTGGGTTGACGTGGCTGGCCTTTCCCCTTCTCCATGCTCATTTCCAGATATTTATTTAAGGTTCACTCACAATGAGCAATGAAATCAGTAACTCTTTGCAGAATCTTCCAGCATTACCAATTGAATTACAAAACACATCCATCCACCCACATTTATGTACAAACACACACAACATGTAATGTAACTGAAATCCAGTACATACACAATATGATCACCCATTTCACAAGGCAGCTTAGAAATTCTGGTCCTGAACAGAAGGAGGGGAACTTACTTTCTTTCCACTTCTGGTGTTGACACGGTGCTACAGAAGCCAAGAGACTCCTAGGAAAGAAGATTCACAGCGTCAGTGCAGGCAGAACAGCAGGCTTCATCTGATTTGTACATAATACCATTAAAAAAAAAAAAAAAGAGGACAGAAGCAAAAATAGATGATTAAAGTCACTGTGCTTACTTCGATCTGGGACCGCAGCTGAAGTGACGTGGGGCTGGCTTCGGGTTTCTCCTAAAACAGAACAGATGCTGGTTTAATGAGACTCCCAAACGTGGCACACACCAGAAAGACAAATAGATGTGTAAGAAGAGATGTGGGGATTTGGGAAACGCTAGGGTACAGTGGGAGGAGACAGTGGAGATAAACATTTTCTGGAAAAACTAAAGTATTTTTTAAAAGAAGAATCCTCGCCTCTTAAAACTGAATTGTTTTCCAAACTTCATTACTTAACACTGCTAACAATTTTACTGCAGAAGGAAAAAAAAAGGACAACTTAACTGAGGGCTACTGACAGTTAATGGTGAATAATTCTCTGGATGTGATTAGACCACCACTAGGACATGGAATTTACTGCAACCCATTTATTTCATAAAGTCATAAAGAAGAGGTAGAGATCTTGAACAATTTTAGAAATAAAGCCATAGAGTATAACACTCTCATTTGACAGTTAAAAAAATAAACTATATCCCCTTTGGAAAAAAAAAAGAGATAAAGTCACCTGTGATAAAAACAACATATTGAAATAAGCTTTAGCAGCAAAATAGGAAAATTAACTATTAGAAGTGTTAGAATTGTCCAAAAGCAAAAAAAGCGTTAGGATATACTATAGCAAAATGAGATTTATCCTAGGAAATAGAGCACAGATCACCACACTGATAATTTTTCGTAAGTAGAAAAAATTTCTAAATCAAAACAGGTGCGAAAGTGGATGTTCTCATCAAAGTGTGGTCCAAGTCCAGGCTGGTCCTGGGCCCATAAGCAGAATGATGGGCAGTTTTAGAGGAAGGAGTGATATCACTAACATTGTACATATTTGAAATACCAGATTAATTACGAGTTTTCCAATAATCCTATTGGGCTCTTAATGACCGTTACATTCTTCAGAACCACGCATGCACTATGTGAAGACTGCTTTGTTGGTCCCAGCTAACATTCAGGGAATGGGGGCAGATCATCTCAAATTACGAATTCTCATTTGCATCTACTTGTTCACTTTTTTCAGTTTGCCTGTTTAATCTCTTGCACAATTGTAAAACTCGACCAATATTTTAAAACTTAGCAATGAAATAGTAACATAAGTGTAGCTCACAGCAAACATGTAAGTGCAAATAGGTACAGGAACCCAATACAAACATAGAAGATAAAATGAATATGCTGGGGCGACTAAATCTGACAACAGGATGCCTATGGACAAGCAGACTGCATGAGAAAGGTGTTTTAATGGACTGGCAACCCACTCACCCCCGTCCCAGGGCCTTATTATGAAAAAACATCAGCATGGTGTGAAGCCCCACAGAACTGCTCTCTGGTTAACATCCTTATGGTTTTTATTACCGCCTTTGTTCATAATGAACAAATACATATCTCTGTCCCAAATCTGATACACTATTTCTGTAAAACAGTGTATGGAAATGTTTTAGTTACATTCCAAGCTCAACTGGTATGATGTCAGACTCAGCTGAAAGCAACCAAGGGGATATGTCATTCAGAGGTTCTTGGTGCTTAGAGACCAATCAGGATGCCCTGGAACCTAACCTCTTAGAATCATCACATAGAGCAGTTTATAAACTAAAATAGCGAGAGGTAAGCAAAGATATAGTTTGCAATTTTTCCATCTTAAGTCTTCCTGTTCAGGAGTTAGTATGGAAGTCTCAAAATTATGACGGAACTGTCTTAATTCTTCTGAAACCTTCGCTGAAATTGTCCCTCTAACACCCAACTTCATAACCATCAACAAAAAGTAACTGATCTGACTCTCTTCCCACCCTGTTCTTCACTTTTCTTCACACTCCAAGTCTCTCCCTCACTAGGTAATAGACCATGAACAGGACATTACCTGCTTTACTGTGCACTGTTACCTGCACTTTTCTAACGAACTTTATTTATTGAGTGTGTTGCTTGTCGCTCCACATCATAAACACAACATGTGTAGTATATTATGCAAACTGTACCTGGTTCTTGCATACAAAGCTGATGCTTGTTAACAATCATATTAAATGTTTGATGATCAGGAAGTAATATTCTAAACAATTCATCTTTTACATGTTAGCTTATCACTTATAAGAGACACTGGACTGTGTTGTAACTACTTTTTAGGAAACTGGTTAGGGATGTATTTTGATGTAAAATGTATTAAAATTTATCCCATTAAAATAATGGACCTAGTTAATGTTTCCATGCAGAACATCTGTTTTATCAGGAACAGGGTATGTTTAACAGGAGATCATGTACAGTGATGTTTCTAGTGGGGTTTTTTCCAAACATGCCACAAAATAATGTTTTTCAGAGCAAATTATTAATTTCAACTCCACCCCATTTTACTTTGAAGAAAATCCCACGCATCATATTATAAAACATCACAAATTTTAATGTAAAGGTTTAGTTATCAGGGTTTCTTACATCCTAACTGAGGCTCAACCTTGCACAAATGACTCAATCACCAAGAATTAGACTCTTTCCTAGCGCTGGAGGACCTCCTTTGGTCACTGCAGAAAAAAATCATCTGTAACAAATTAAGATATTCCATCTAAATGTTGCAAAAGAACATGAAGAAACACATTTCAAATTGGACACAACCAAAGAGTCTGTTGGGAAGGACTCATTACTATATCTCAAGTATAAAGCTTTTCCTCTAGTACTTTTTGAGTATGACGTGTTCATTGACTTTGCACTGGACAGAGTATTCTAAGTAGTACTGTGAGAAATAACTCCAAAATTTAACCCATGTTCAGAATGGGCATCCAGACAGCCACCCAGCACTGGTGGGTGAGCCTGAACCTGTATCTGTAGGTTAGTGTATTATGACTTAGTTAAAATGGAAAATAACTTTTTTAAAAAGTGAATAGTTGGAATTTGACCTGTGGGTTAAACTGTTTATTAAGAAGCATAATGGATACCTTAGTTAAGAATGATAAATACCATTAGCATTACAAATTCTTAGTGAGTTGGTGAATTACAAATGCTAATGGAATCCTCCCTAGGCTAATGAAGTACCAACAGAGAACCAAAATATCAATACAGCCCATCACTGTGTAAGTATTGTGCATGAGCAGGAAAAGGTCTGAGAGGACAGCCACCAAGTGTCAACAACTGTTACCTACGCTTCCATTCTCTTTGCAGTTTTTTGTAAGCATAAAATCTTGTATTGCCTTATTTTTTTCTAATAATGAAAAATCAGCTTTAAAAAATACAATCTCCAAACCAGACTTATTGGGGTGATCATTTTGCAATATATACAATATCAAATCATTACATTGTGCACCTGAAACTCATATGATGTTCACCCCTCCTGCTTTTCCAGCTGTAAAGTTCATCTGGCTTTAAGTGCTGGCAGCACTGAGGGAGGGAGACGTGCGGCAGAGGAGATGTCAATTACACTTCAATTTTTTAAAAAGCTGTAGAAGAGGGTTTTAAACAGTAAGAAATAAGGAAAAAAGATTTTAAAATTAAAAAAATAAATGACTATACAGTCAGTTATAAATATTGAAAAATGTTTAAAGCTACCATCTCCGGATCCTATGTTTTAAAATTATCTACCTGTATATGAAAAAATATCTGAAAGGAACCCTAAACACCAGTGATTAATCCTGCAAAGGCCACTATATTTCTGAATTTTTAACGTATTTTTTTCAAGTATATAATACTTTTATATTTTTAAACATAAAAATCATTTAAAAAAATTAAATTTGATAATAATTTAGTTGTATCCCAACAATTAAGATTAAAACTTTTTAAGAAATATTAAAACTTAATTTCTCAAATTAGGTCATGCCCTATATTAACATACTTTCTTGAGGTGTTAAAAATTTCAATACTAGTGTCATAAAATTTT